AACATTAAATGTACTCAAACATATATAGTTCATGTGTACTGTTTACTTTAAAATCTATTTATACTGTAGGCGAGATTCCTACTTACTTGATTTTCAAAGCTGGAATCCCTTTTTCGCCTATCAGCCTAGTCTCTTGCTTTCTTCTGAAACTGAACACCCATTAAGAGTGTGAGATTAACTATTATTTGCTATTTTATTTTAGCAACTTATGAAGGAAAATCTAACCATTTCCATAAGGCATATATTCCTTTCCTTTACTAAAGGATAATAAAGATTAATTTATTAAATCTTCAAAATCTTATTTTCCTAGATTTCCCTTGGTATGATATTAAGGCCCAATTCGGCCTAGGACTTATACATGGCATTCTAACTTTTACGCCGCTGAAATTTATACTCCAACGGAGTCTCTTAAACTAATGTGGGCGTTGGACCCACATTAAATATTCGAAATTCTACGGACCTATCGTATTGGGCTCGTAGGTGCCCGTCGGGATAATTCGTCGGTAAACCTCTACGTTCTTTAAAGAAATCATTTTTCCTTGAAAAATTCCTTTATGAATACTTTCATTAAAATGAGGTTTAATGTCATTGTATTTTACTAAAATTCTATCTCGGGTTCTTTTATGACTTTTGTTGAAACCGCCACTGTTTTAGTTTTGTCTCGTTAAAAACTGTGCAGTTTCTGAAATCTACGTTTTACTGTATCTTAGAGTCGGATTTCAAAATTTTGTTCTTTGCGACAATTTCTCGTCTCGTCGAGATCTAAAATTGTCGTTTTTGGTGAAGGTTGAAATTCGGCCTCTAAAGGCCTCGTTTGGCTGAAAACCGTAGCTGTTGTTTTGTTTTAAACTGTTTCAGTCAAAAACTGTGCCGTTTCGGGAATCTGTGTTTTAGTACCTCTTAGGGTCGGATTTTGAAAATCTTTTCTTCGTTAAATTTCTTCCTCTCGTCGAAAACTAAAATTGTCACTTTTGTGAAAAATCAAAATTCAGCCTTTAAGGGTCCCGTTTGGCTGAATTGGTGGCTGCCAGTTTTTTTTTGAAACTGTGTTGGACAGATTGTCCGTTTTTGCAAAATGACTTCAAACTTGGTTTTAGAGTTAAAATTAGGTTTAGTCATAGTAACCGAAATTGTTCAACACATCCAGGGCTATAAGTTCAAGCTTTAAAACATTGAAAAATCTTACTCTATGGCCCTCATTTTCGCGGTCAAAGTCACCGAAATTTTTTTTCCTCTAATCCGAAAATAAGCAACTTAAATCAAGCATAGACATACCACATCAAGCTAACCTCAAAACTCACAAAACCAACATAAAACTCACACACCCTTATTACAACTCATCTCCTCAAGAACCTCAAATTTACATCCACAAATCCAAGCTTAAAGTTGGCTAGAAATTAATGGAGAAGAGTTTGAGAGCTTACCCTTGAAGAACTATCTCTCTCCCTTGAAAACTTTGAACTCCTCTAAGATTTGTTATTGGCTTGGAACTAGAAAGTATAAGGAAATTTAAGAGGAATATTTCTACATTTCAAACTTTACTAAAACATAAAAAAAGGATTTAGAGTTATACCCTTTGAAAAAATGCTTGTCTAGACTCCTCCTAGACCCTTTGGTCTCCTTCTTCTTCTTCTATGGTTTGTAGTGGCTCAAGATTGGGGGAGTAGGAGAAAATATTTGAGAAAGAGTGGAGGAGTATGGTATGGCCGGATTTTGAGGGGGAGAGAAAAGCTAGGGAAAAAAATGAGGCTTATCCTATGGTGGTTCCTTTTATAGGCACTTGGAAACTATTTTTTTAACACTACATCAACTCTATCAATCAACCAAATTTTGGTTCAATTTTCCAGAAAAGGAGAAGTCAAAATTGCCATTAATTCCCCTTCAACCACTACCATCCCATCACCTTAACTTGTAGCCTTCTAACACACTCAACATATAACCAAAATTTTTGGATATAACTTCCTAAGGATGGCCGGCCAAGTGAAGAGAAAAAGGAGAAAAAAAAACTAATCATTAGTCCTATTCACCTCTCTCATCACATCTCATCAAATCACACACACTAACCTACACCTTGTACTTTTGTCCATTCCCTTAACTTACTCATTAAAACTGTCCAAACTCATACTGACAGTTATTTTCTCCTGTATACGGGTTTTGGATGCTAGGTTGTACTGTGCTGGGAGATTCTTAAAATTAAGATTCTCTAACTGTATCTATACTGGAAATTCTTCCGTTTTAAAGTACGGTGAGAATTTATCGATCGAATTTACTTGATCGGAAAAATGTGAACTTAACGTGAAATCTGCTACAGAATTTAGGAATGCAGATGTTAATTCCCTAAATCCTTCAATCACAAAATGTACATAGTATAATGATTTTCCCGGAAAATCCTTGACTTGAATACATGAATTATATTATTAAAATTATGGGATTTTTTTCTTGGTCACTACAAATGTAATACAATATATAATATATTATAAAATAATAATTATAATATCATATTATTACAATAATTATAATATTATTATAATATCATATTATATGATAAAATAATAATATTAGAGTTATTAATATAACTATGATATTATTTGTTACAATATAACTATTATATTATATTATATTATATTACGATTCTAAATTTTAATTTGTGAAGATTGTAAATTTTAAATTTCATTAAGGGTATTATTGGTATTATAAAAGTTTTGTTAATTGTACTATGTTGATTCCCGCACAATCTAAAAGCTAAAGTTGTCTTTAGGCTACTTCTGATTTTAGTTGTAGATTCTTAAAACAATTCTTCAAAAAACACTTTTGAGGAGATTTACCAAACACTAAAATCAGCTTCTGCTACAAGCAGAAGCTGATTTTGGAAGGAAAAAAGCAATACCAAAATAAGCTTATGTCAAAGATGAGGTGATTTTGGTGTCCTTGTATTTAATGCAGGAATAAAGAAAACAATCCATTAGTGAAGTTAGATAGCATTTGTTCCATTATGCGATTGATCTAATAAAACAAAATAGAAGGAAACCATTGTTGAAGATTATGATGTTGTTATGCTTACTATGAGGCATGATGTGGAATAAAATTTTGTGCATCATCCGTAGTTAATTGAGGTAATGATAGAAGATACAAAGAGAGCCTTGTATAATAATTTACAAAATTATCCACTTTGGTTATATCATTAAACTTGAAGGTATCAAAATAGGTGGACTAATTCTAATTTCTCGTGTTTTAAAGAACTTGTAAGAGAGAGATGCTACTGGAGGATAATAAGAGCTTGGATACCTTATAAAAAACCGTCGTCTAAAATACGTGCTAAGTCTATTATTATCAAGATTAGACAACGGTTTATTAAGAAAATCATTGTCTAATGTAATTTTTAACGACGGATAAAAACCGTCGTTATATGCCACAGACATTTAACGACTCGCGATTAGACGACAGTTCTCCTAACCATCATTTAATCTTTTAACAACGGCTATTAACAGTCATTAAATACCAGATTTTTTCTGGTGAGTATAAAAAAATACATACTTTTCAGATTAATACTCGTTACTGAGAAAAGTTGAAGACTTAAACGAATGCCTAAACCAGGAGATTTTAGTGATAGTTATTAATGTTGAAGACTCAAACCAGGAGACTTTATTGATGTGTAATTGACAGCATCCGTCAAGAACTACAAGAGGATAGAATGGAGGGATTATTATTGTCAAGACACGTTCACGGCAATGTTGATTGGCACATTTAACCACTGCTAAATATGTGCATGGAAACCTATCAGGCTACCGAGTGAAGAGTTCATTAAGTTAAAAAAAAAAAAATGATCTGCTCATTACGAACAAGCAAAATAAGTCTTTTCTAGACGTGCACAAGGATTTGAACTTGTCGTTAATGAGCGAAGGGCATCAGGAAAATTAAAACGTCATCTCATACTTTAGCATGCATTTTTCACGGTTGACGGTTGAGGAGATTGTTGTTTTTGTTGATGCCGATTCTATTTTCCTACTTATGCTATTTATGTCGGTGCTTTTGTTTCCGAAGAAATAAGTATGTATTATAGGTAACCAATGGATTTTTGTTTTTGTTCGTTTGTTTGGTTTTTTTTTTTTTTTTTTTTTTTTTTTTTTTTTTTTCCCCTTTTGGCTTGGATACAAGTTCAATCTTGTTTTAAGATTGTGCCAGGTTGTTTGCCAATATCGAATGATGTTTGTGATTGTGATTTTCTTTACCCAAAACACTTCGTGTTTTAATCAAAATATCACTTTCGCTTATGTTATTATGTAAAATACCCCAAACACACTCTGTGTTTTGTGAAATTAAACTCAAAATATTTCCTGAAGCAACTAAATACCAAGATTACCCTTCTCAATCTTTATTAAATCATATTTAAAACACTATTCAATAAAAGTGTTAAATAAAATCAATCTTAAAAAATAAAAAACTCTCAAAATAATTGATGTACTTCTTTTATTTGAATATTTATTTGAGAATTTTTATAAGTTTCTATTTAACTTTCTAGTTAAATAATATCTAAAATAATATTTAGTGTAGATTTGGAAGGGTAATCATGATATTTTTATCATAATAAGAGGGGACAAAAGTGGTATTTTGACGGGATGTTTTGAACAAAAAAGAGAAAAAAAACTATATATATCCCCTTCAATAAAAAGTTTCTGCGTAATTTCCTTGGATGGGTTGATAACAAGAATGACCATATTTTAATTTCTACGGAGACGTTTGTCGGCATTGGAAAAGTAACATATACTACATCAGATATTATATTTCAAACAAATATCTTTTCACTCTCACAAGTCTACTACAAACATGTAAAAATGAATGACATCAAGATATTCAAATCTGGAAGAAATCAAAAGACAGGATTTTACTAATCCTGCAAAAGAATGAACAAACTAATCCTGATGTCAAACAAATGAAAAGTAACATATACTACATCAGATATTATATTTCAAACAAATATCTTTTCACTCTCACAAGTCTACAAACATGTAAAAATGAATGACATCAAGATATTCAAATCTGGAAGAAATCAAAAGACAGGATTTTACTAATCCTGCAAAAGAATGAACAAACTAATCCTCACTCAAGTTGCTGTACCAGCCTAAAAAAGAATGTGAAAAACATGAAAGAAAATAATCGGGACATTTTTTTCATATTAAAACTGTAAAGCTTGAAATTCTTAAAAGGAAGAGCACTGCTTCTTGGTCTTGTACCGGTAAAGAACCTTCTTCTTCTTGCTCGAATTGTTCTCGATTGTTAGGACAACCTTTCCGGGCTCATTGCTCCGGAAAGTATTGCGAATAGGTCCTTCATTCAGTCCCATTTTCTTGGCCTTCTGAACAATTATGGTGTAAGATCCCTCATCGTTAGGAACAAATTCCTCCTTGTAGTTTACTTCCCAACCCAAAACGGTTAAGTCCCACACCAATGTGGTATCAGCCTGTTTATCAATAATTTACAATTAAGATTCAAAGGATATAAGCCAAAAGGGGCATAATAAAAATGATCAGATAAAAGTGTCGGTGTCTGTAGAAATACAAGTTCTTAAATTTGAACATTTTTTTGCCAAATATGTCTAAAAATATCGAAAAGTTGGAAAATTTCATAGAAGGATGTCATTGTTGTTACTGTTAAATATTTGATTTATGGATATTTCTTTCTCTTCAAGATATACTTGTATTGTGCGATCGTTTTACAGAAATATCGAAAAAATGGTAATATCGGACATAATTCCATTCTTTGAATACCTTTGGTGCGGGTATCTCAATGGTTTGAGTAGTTCCTGCTTTGACAAAGAGTTCAGAAACAGCATAATCATCGCCATAGAAGTCAAAGTCATTCTCCCTCATGAAGCCACCGTATTGCACAGGGATTTTCTCAGCCGGAATGTACCTGTGATGAAATGATTTTGCGTTAAACATGTCCTTAATTTCTAATGAAAATCACATTGAGATTATTGGTATATATAAGGTAAAATATGTGAAAATACTGCTTACTTAAGAAGGGTTTCGGTAACCTTCGCCGGCCGAGCAACGACGAATTTGCTCTTGGTTCTTTGAGTCAAGAAAGGTGACAAGAGGGCATTCAAAGCGTAGTACCAGAAAGGAACATTTATGAATATCTATCACCAAAACCATAAACAACATATCAATACCAATTTCACTTCTGAAAGTTCAATATAGTGTTTTTGTAACAAGAGATTTTAAGGAAACTCACATTTTTGGCGACCAACTCAGGGTAATTGTCCTGCAAAAGGCCGACAGCTTGTTTCGTGGCGATTCTGAGCTCTTTCTTGGAAGGTCCCGGCGAGTTTTTGAGGTCATTGACATGAAGCAAAGAAGAGACTCCGGTCGGTTTCAAATCAAGCTTCTGAATGCTCTTCTCCGTCAATTGGCACCTCCATCTCAAGAAATGTGTCCTCTTCTCCTCCGTCCCAAAAGTCTTCCGGTAAAGCTCTTCGTTCTCGAACACGCCGAAGACGTTGTAGCACACGGGGTGTCCCTCCCGGTCCACGCCATTGATGTAGGCCGCCGAGCTCAAGTCGACGCACAAGTCGTCCTCGTCCAAGATCGAATCGATCTTCGAATCCTTCCTCCATTGAAGGGTCTTCTTAAGCATCTCGAAGGCGTCATTGACCTTGAACTCTCTAGCCCTCAAGAACTTCAAGAGGACTACATCAGTACCTTCTGAGCCTTTGCTTGGCAAAAGGGGAACTCCCCAAAGGGAAATTTCCTTATCGACTTCTTCTTTTTCAATTTTCTCTTCGGCTTCTTCATCTTTCTCTCCTTCCTTTACCTTTGCGTTATCACCCTCTTCTGGTTTTGCTTCCTCATCGTCGCATTTCTCCGCTTCTCCTTTTTTCTCTTCTTCCTTGGGTTCTTCGGGTTTCGCCTTCTCTTCGGTCTTCTTTGGCTCTTCTGGTTTTGCTTCCTGATCGTCACATTTCTTCGCTTCTTCTTTTTTCTCTTCTTCCTTGGGTTCTTCGGGTGTCGCCTTCTCTTCGGTCTTCTTTGGCTCTTCTGGTTTTGCTTCCTGATCGTCACATTTCTTCGCTTCTTCTTTTTTCTCTTCTTCCTTAGGTTCTTCGGGTTTCGCCTTATCTCCGGTCTTCTTTGGCTCTTCAATTCTGTAGAGATTGTTTCCGAGAATGGCTTCTTCAAGCTTCAATCTCAGCTCATTCAAAGCCTTCCTCTCAAACTCTTTCAGATCAGAGAGAAAGTTGCTCTCTTCCTTATAAGAAGAGCTCTTCTCAACAGATCTGGGTTTGGATTCATCTTTCTCATGAGCTTCCTCAACGTTCTTCTTCGTCTCTTCTTCATGAACCAAAACATCTCCCTTCTGGGTCTCCTCGGGCTTAGCAACCTCAGCAGCCATTTTCCCAGAAATTTCAGTGGAAGAGAAAGAAATGACGAAATGAAGAGAAAAAAAAGAATGGGATTTTTCTTTTAGCTTTGGTGGGATGGTTTGAGGAGTGAAAGAGAAAATGAAGAGAGGCTTTCTTATATATTTTTTGAAAATTTCAACCGAGGGGGAGTCAGTGGACCCAACCAACGGTCACTTATCTGTACCCACCGCATAGGAGAGCCGTTGGTCATCTTGGGATTCTTCTTTTTTCTCTTTTTTTGTTTTTTTTTTCCACTTTCCAAGGGCTGTGCTAGCCTGGAGGCCAGCATACTTTTGGCGTGCAAGAACCACTTTGGGCCCACAAAAGAGAACTCTATGTGGAACTCGGAGGCCAGATCAGATGTGCTCAATCTTAGTTATTTATTATTGGAATAAGGTTAAACAAATTATTCTTAATTTTTGTATTTAAAATTCAAATTTTTTATGAGATAAAAACACTCTAATAAAATTAAAATCATAAGTTTAAACGTATGAAGTAAACAATCTCTAAAGACCCGTTTAATTCATAAATTCAGAATCATAATTTATAATTTTAACTTTTAAAATTTAAATTTTTTATAAAAAAAATATTGTATAAACAATGAATTATGATTCAACAGAGAGATGATACACGAAACAAACATCTTATGTCATTGGTTTAAGGGAGAAAGGTCAAAGTGAATAAAGGAATATAACGTTTCTTCTCTAATTTGGAACGTTTATTATTGTCACGGCATGAGGGACAGACCATGAGCCAGCTTTGATTCCATTTGATGATTGTCTTTCAATTTTCTTAATTGGATTTTTTTTTTTTTTGGCAAGCTTGAGTAGCGTTGTTTATTTTTGTGGACAGCTAGCTAGATTTTCTTTTAGATTTTCAATAAAAGGTTCTTTGGGACCATCAAATACCATTTCAAAAAAAAAAAAAAAATCAAAACAAAGGAGTAAACTTAACAGCAATTTTTTAAATTGAAAACAATAGACCATCTGAAAAAAAAAAAAGTTTTATACAAATATACACACACACACACTAAAAGCAAGTTATCTTTTATATCAAAAAAAAAAAAAAAACAAAGGAAGTTATCTTTCAATTCTTCGGCATCTCAGCTCGTAAGATTGCATTACTGTTCAAAACAAAGAATAAGAAAAAAAAAAGGTAAAATAAGGATGGGAACGTTTAGCTCAAAAAAAAAAAAAATGCAGCAACTGTTTTTTATTTAGATCTATTTTTCAGTGTAGAACAAAAATAATATCTGGATCATTCAAAAAATAAAAATAAAATTCTCTGAAAATTAGAAAACGTTTGGTTCATAATTCAGAATTATGAATCAGAATTATTCTTAATTTATATATATATTTTAAGAGAAAATACTTTAACGAGCAACGAACTATCATCCTTTCATTTAGGGGGTGTTTGGTTGTAGGATTTCAAACCATGATTTGAATCATGGTTCATGGTTCGCTACAGTATTTTCTCTCACAAAAAATACACGTAAATTGAAAATAATTATAATCACATAATTTTAATTCATGAACCCAACGTGTCCTCAGATAATTCCCAACACCTCCGTACTTTGCTCATTTCTGCCACGTGGCAGCACCTTATGCATGTGATACGTGTACCACTATGTTTGACCGAGTCATATTGCCCATTATCATTAGTTGGCAAAACCGCTCAACCTCCTGCACGTCGCACGTGGTAGATAGATCATCGGATTCGTGAAATGTTGATTCTCAATACCGCTGTCCACGATATTAATATAGACCCTCAGCCTCTTATCAAATATTCAAATTGGTGGACCCAAATTTAATTATATAACTGTCATCCTTCCATGTGATCCGCAGAAAGTTATGGAAGATGTGTGAACGTCTATAGACTATAGTCCAAAAATTTCCCACAATTGTTCCTCGTAACAATGTGACGAGAATCTTGAAATTTGTTTTATTATCATTAAACAAATGACCAATTACTTTCGTGAAAGATGAATATTCGGTTTAAGACCTTCAAAATAAAAATTAATGGGTCAAAACCATTTTGGAGGACCACTGCTCTTTTGGCTGATTGAGTAAATATGATTTAACACTCAGTTTGTTTGCTAAACATATCTTGATATAGGTTTGAGTAGAAAGCGTGACAATAATTTGAATTTTCAAATTTATTAACCAAAAGATATCTTAATGATATTAAGCACTATAAATTTTCTGCACCAATTAATATTACTATTTGTGCTACCTCTTTGTTGGGGTTCGTTGCTATTTCATCCCTCATCCGCTTTTGTTGTTCGTTATTACACCAGGAAGAACTCGTGGAGTAATTGTACACTAAATTGTTCACTGATTGTTATTTTACGTGACGTGTTATTTCTATTAAAAATCCTAAAGGAAGGAGTTTCTTCATTAACATTTCAAAACTTAGAGAGAACCTAATTACGTTTTACGTTTTGTAGATCGGGAGGCATATCGTTACAAAACTTATAGTGATGTAACGGAACTCTAAATAAATAAGAAAAAAAATTCTAAGATCCGTCAATTTAATTAGGATATCGGAAAAATATGGTATTTATAAACTAGTTTATTCACCCACGAACATCAAGAAAACAATCATTAGTGGCTCGTTAATTTTAAATTCCATTCATTTCACCGATTCGAGTTTTGTTATACTAAAAAACTCTCAGAAATAATCACATTTAACTTTTTTGTTACAGTAAAAAACTCTCACATAAAGTCACATATCAACTTGAGTTAAAAACTCGAATCAACGAACTAAACGGGTCCAGAAAATACTGAGTAATCGAAATAGAGATGTTGAGAGAATTCTCAAAATGTATATTATAAATCACCACAAAACTTAATAATAAAATAACTAAAACAAGCGTTAAGTACAACCTAGTTTCCCAATCATATTCAAAGTAATAAAAGACAATTAAAATAATTAAAAATAGAGCACTAATTTAGGGATAGAAACGGGGCGGGACGAGGGTGGAGAATGATTTTTCATCCCTATTCCCGTCCTCATCCCCGCTTAAGAAGAAACAGGGCCAAAATTGAGAAATTCTCTATTGCAAAGCTCTTCTCCATACTTGATCCATTCACCATCTAACATAATTATACATTTCAAAATTATAGCAATTTAAAATAAAAAAGTGTAAATTTAAATCAAAATCAAATTAGGTTCTATAAAATAAATCAGATGCAAATCAAACTTAGTAATAATGCCACAAAAATATTGAAATTATTTTCACAAAAACATTGAAATTATTTGAAAATATAGTATTGCATATAGTTATTTATATAAAATTTATAACAAATGAAGATGAAGATCGGGCGAAGGTAGGGCGGGGAGCGTTTCAACAAACAAATAGAACAATAAGTAGACGTTTAGTTTATGAATTCAGGATCATAATTCAAAATCATTTTTATTTTACGTATATTTTTTATGAAAAAAAAATATTATAAAAAACCATAAATTATAATTCAAAATAAAAAATGAATATAAAACAAACTTCCCCTAAACCATCCTACAACATACTTAAATGGAGCACAAACCTATCCTACAACATAATTCCTGACAGCCCATAACAAGAAGTTACTTCGACACGTATGATTTTTTTTTTCTAGGAAACGACACGTGCTCCATCAATTTCCATTTGATGAATTAAACGACGCATAACATCAATTCTTTTTAGCTGAAACGACGTGTCGCACACCTGTAATTACTTAAAACACATTACAAGAGTTAATGAGTAAAAGGAGTAAAGTTGTTTATAGTTTTTTTTTTTAAAGTAATAATTCTAAAACTTAGGGTAAAATTGAAAAGAAAAATTTTTCGAAAGGTCAAATTTTGATTTTTTTTTTTAAATTAGTGGGGGCGGCTGCTCCCACTTTGCCCTTAACAGATCCGACACCGGACATTTGACAATGAGATTCGGAACTGTAGAAACAGTTTTGCAATTGCAAAGAAAAACGTCTATGCATTTAAATCCTGTTATTAGCTTCTATTCTCTAGAAGAATTTTTTCTTATTTATTTCACCGATTCAAGTTTAAAATTTAAATTTTACTATAGTAAAAAACTCTCAGAAACAGTCACATCTAACTTTCTTATTATAGTAAAAACTCTCACATAAAATCACATCTCAATTCAAATTAAAAACTCAAATGAACGAACTAAACAGGTTTTTCTCTTTCTTCTCCCTTTATTTTTTTATTTTATTTTACTTTTTAAAAAATTTGAACTAAAGATCCGTAAAGCAGTATAGAATTTGTGCCTTGAATGGTACGGGTGCTTACCTAGTGTATGTTTTGTTAAAATCATGTCAAGATTATAATACACACAAAATTAAGAGTCCGTTTGGTACCTAAATTCGTTTCCTGATTCGAATAATGATTTGTGGTTCGCTACAGTATTTTCTCTCACAAAAAATACACGTAAATCGAAAATGGTTCTAATCACATGGTTTGAATCCATGAACCAAACGCCAACAGATTCTGTGTGAATATGGTTTGAAACAAAGATCTATCGATGCTCTTGGCAATTTTCTTATAGAATTATTACAAGGTAAAGCTTACAAACATTTTTTCCTTTTCTTTTTTTGATTTAAATATTTTTTTCAACTTTTTAATCTAAACAGAGAGAGCTTTCCAGAAACAACCAGCCATTAAAAAGGCAAATGAGGCCATGAGGCAGCTAATGCAATCGCGTCATACAATACAAGTGTGTGGAAGTACTTTGACAATTATACGGTAATTCAATATGAAAATAATGGTTCCATGTCGATCAAAATAGTTGTATATCTAACTAAAGTCCTGGCAAAGTCAGCTAGAAACGTTTTAAGTGAAACCAAATCAAGATATTACACATCAATCAACAACAATTCCCTGAACCACTATAAATCAATTCATTGCCATTTAGCAGAATTAGTCTAAACAGAAAATCCATATAAACCATCTCACGCTCACCGGTTTTACAGTTTACATTGCACAAAAACAAAGTTCTCTTTTCTTAAACTGACTTCTAATGGTGACAAAAACTGCAGGAATTTACTTTAAATTGGGAATAAAACAGCTATCCTTGTTTCCCTTCCACAAATTCTGGAACCTAAGTTTGTGACTAAGGCATAAAGTTCTGTGCAACTAACACATAAAGTGAAAGCTGTAAGAATAATATACCTCTGTATTAACACCACGAGCTTAATATATCTCGTCGTCTGGAACATCTGGAGTCAAGAATTTCCTTGGATCTTTACTGATTTCTTCGTAAGTAATCCTTGCTTTGACCCTTTCTGGTACAGGCACAAGAGGGATAATGCTATCTCTATCAATAACTCCATCTAGTAGTCCATACTCAACTGCTTCTATGGGGGACATATAACGATCCCTGTCGATATCCTTTTGGACTTGTTCAAATGTGCGGCCAGTGCAATGAGCAATAATTGATGTGACATTGTTCTTGTTATGCATGATTTCTCGGGCTTGAATTTCCACATCTATTGCCTGTCCACTAGCACCTCCTAGAGGTTGATGAATCATTATCCGCGTGTTGGGCATGGCGAAACGCTTGCCTTTGGTGCCACCACCAAGGATGACAGAAGCCGTTGATGCTGCAATGCCAAGCGCAACTGTTGATACATCAGCCCTCACGAGCTGAACAACATCATAGATAGCCATTGTAGCGCTGAAGTAAATAACATCAAGCAAATCAGCTACGGAAATTTATAGTGCTACAAGAAATTAAGTACCCAAAAAAAAAAATACATGTTTCTGGACAAGCAAATCAGCTACGAAAATTTATAGTGCGACAAGAGCTTAAGTACCAAAAATAAAAATAAAAAATACATGTTTCTGGACAAGAAAACTGTTTCAGTAGATCACTAATTCATCTAGTTCAGTTCACTGTGGCACCACAAGGGTATTTCAATTCAGTGAAATCTTATGCTAAGAAGCAGGAATTTTATTAGTTTCCACAGAAATAGACATATGATTATGTTTTCCTTTGGTTAAAAGAAGAACAAAGAGGGAAGGAATGCATAAACCAAGAGCCAGATTGTTTCAGACAAATGAAGTCATAAATAGCAAGATCAAAAAATCATATTTATCCCCGCTTCACTGATCCACAGGCAAACAACAGTAGTGTATTTGACTTCAAAAGGCAGTCTTGTCAGCAAATATATGGGGTGAGGGAGTTTCCATCAAATTCTAGAGTCTGATGTTGAATAGCATAATTCATCATCTTTATTTATTGTGTAGACCGTAGAGTCGGAGATGGAGAGGAGTTAATTACAACACATAACCTAATTGCACATGACAGAGTGTTCACAAGAACAATCTTAATAGTATGCTTATTCCAAATAGCCATTTCCAAATAAATTATCCAAGGAAAAAAAAGGGGGAAAACATAGGCAAATACATGAAGTTTATACAACTTTTTCATTGAAAAGAATTCTCATAACTAGTATTCTCCATTTTTTATTTATTTATTTATTTATTTTTTTATTTTTTTATATAACACGGGATTGAACCCGCAACACCTAAACCCCACCCCACCAAAACCCCCCAGTACCACTAGACTAAGTGGTCTTAGGCTAGTATTCTAAAATTGACTTATATAAAAATATAGGGGAAACGAAAAGACCACCTTTTACATCTCTGTCACTTGTTACGAGTCCTCGACCTGTGTTTGGGCCTCCACACATACCTAAACATTTGCTTTTCCTACAGGGTGACAAACCCATGAATCATTACCCCTGGCTTTTCTTCAAACTTAATAGATAGCTCAGTACCTATGTTGGTCATCAATCATACCAGTCATTTCACTTCAAACTCGCATACTAATGTAGTACCACCTAGCAAAACTCAAATTTTTAAAAATTGCCACCATTAAGGGGTGGAACGCTATGCGACCAACTATATTCTCAACTTCAGGAGTGAAAATCACAGGTGGGCTCGACACTTTGCTGATTTACAGGTTGACTACTGATTTTCTTTGGATATTTATAAAGTAGGAAACTAAATCTTACGGCCTATAAATGTCTGACGCTACTGAAAATCGGGAACCGCAAACCACATGCATGTATGTAACAATTATGCAACGAACACTTCCATATATTATGCTTTTCATGAAGTTGAGTAGGTTATGCTCTTTCCATCAGCAAACCCCGCACTCACTGGACAAGGGAAGAATTATTCAATTCCAACCCGGTGGCGGAGCTTTAGTAATTGGCATCCTCAAACATCCCGACAAATAGACAACATGAAACACTTACCATTGGTATTCAAACGAGGTAAACACAACAATTACTTTACCAGGTTAGACCACTACTTGACCCCCATCGAAGCATTGAAGAGCAGAAGCTATGGTAATTGAAAACCACGAGCTTGTTTGGTCGGAGGGAAAAGTGGAAGGAGGAATAGGCGTGAGACGATTAGTAGAAGGATTATGGGACTTATGGTTGTTTGCGAGGAGGGATTTGATAGGGGTGATAGTTTTAAATCTTTCAAAGAACCCCAATTTCAATCCCTCAAAGGAAACAAATTGAGAAGAGAATACATGCCAAACACAACAAGAGAAAGGTCTCTCAATTCCTTTACATTTTCCTTGACTAGGTTATACACCTTTCTTTCCCTCCTACCAAACACAGCCTTAAACAAGAGCCCAACATTCAGGGCCGTTTGTTTTTTGAACACATGATTCTAATTCTGCTAAAGTACTTTTCTCACACAAAATTTAAATAGAAAAAATTTCCGCTAATGAGTTCTCTCACAAAATTTAAATTCAAAATCATAATCGCTGAATTAAATGTGTGAACCAAACGGGCAAGCTGACTAGGAAAACATTTCAGCAGAAACACTTCATTTGTCTGCTAATATTAGTATTAGAGGCATCTAATGCAAAACCCAGAAGTTCATCTAACCAATAAAAAATGACCAAACAAAACAAACCAAGTGAAGCTAAAAATTAAAGAAAGGGAAAATAAAAAGAGACCCAGAAAGAAAAGAAAAGGGGTCTTGGTGGAACCTGAGAGAGCCACCAGTGGAGTTAATAAAGAGCTTGATATCCTTAGTGGAATCCTGGGCGTCCAACAAGAGAAGCTGACTGATAATGGCGTCGGCGATGAAGTCATCAATGCTGCTTCCCAAAAAGACGATTCTCTCCCTGAGGAGGAGGCCCATGGCGTCGGACTCGGCGCTTCTCATGGCAGTATCGGGCGTCTGCGGAGACGAGGCCAAGAGAAGAGATGGGGTGAGGAGAGATTGGGGTTTGGAAGAGGAAGTGGATTGGAAGCACTTGGCGAAGGATGAGGCTCTTTTAGTTTTGAGAGAGGAGATTGGGAGGTGGGAGGAGATGGGTTTGGGGCGAGAGCTGTTGGGGAGTTTGAAGGAAGGAATTGGGGATGAGAGGGAGAGCACGTCCATGGCCGTTTGAGAGAGAGAGAGAGAGAGATTTGGGTAAGACTTGTTAGTTGTTAGAGAGAGAGAGAGAGTGAAGAAGCCCGGAAAGAACTCTTCATTCTTCGGTTTAGGTGAGAAGCAAACAACTTACAACATGGGTCGGGTTTTGGTTTTTGTTTTTCTGGGTGAATTAAAAGGGACATAACAAAAAAAAAAACTTATAATATAATATCTTATAAATAGCAAAATTTAATACCATTAAGATAATTAGTGTAATTTTTGTTAATTCTAAAATATTCCAAAACAACCTTCATAAATTTTCCATGTAATGTAATTTTTACTTAACAGTAGAGAAATACAACTATATTTTCTAAAGAGAGGTTTACTCATTTATTTTTAGGAGAATTTTTAGTGAGTGTGGAAATTCATATCAATCACTTTGTTGAAAAATCTATTTAATTTCCACGTCAAAGTGGTATACTTGAATAAGACTTTAATAGTATAGAATCTAATTTACACTATAAAAGAGAAAAATATATGATTTCTCATAATTTTATACAAACTTGTTATTTATCTTATTTTAAATAATTAAGTGTCGTGACCTTTCATTTTCTGGTAATTAATTAAATAACAATTTTTTTTTTTTTGAGTGAAGTATAAATATTTGTTTTTTCATCTAAGTGATATTTCTGGGTTTTTTTTTTTCCTTATTAAAACCACACGCACATATTTTAAATACCCGTGATGAGGGTTTAAACCAAACAGCGGATAAACAGGGTCAGAGAGCTAGAGGAGCACTACTTTCGTTTGGAATTGCTGGGTGAAATGCTTTTTTGAAATGGAAAACTTACATTTCTATACCCAAGATTATCAAAAAAATATATATAGCTTGTGTTTTGGAGCTTTTTTTTTTCCTTTTTTTTAACAGTCTTCTATACATTTGGATTGCCAATTTATGCTCCCTCTAAACCCCTAAAAATAAGTAACAATGTTAACAAAAACAATTTATAGAATATCTACCAATATATATATATATATATATATATATCAACTGACAGTCAATTCAAGGCCACTCCTATAGATGAGTCGACAACTGCATTTCTAGCATTGAGTGACAAGGTTGAGAAAGAACCTAATATTTGAGCCAACCACTCATAGGTTCTCAAGGAAAGACATCAAAATTAGACAAGAGTATGTTTGGTAGGAAAGAAAAGTAGAAGGAAAGAAGAAGGTGGAGAAATTTTAGAAGGAAAAATGAAAATGTAGGTTGTTTGGCAGGAGAGAAAAGAGAAAGAAAGAGAAAATAGAGTGAAAAATAATACATGTGAGCCCCACCATTTTTTTTCTTTCCACAAGTGGACAGAAAATGGGATAGAAAATAAGGACAACTCATTAAAATGAGCAAACTACTAAATTACTATTTTCTCCATCAACATCAAAACAAAAAATTTAAGGGTATAAAAATAATTTACGAGTAAGATTTTTTCTTTCCTCCTAATTTAACTTCCAATACCAAACAAGTGAAGGTAAGCTCATTTTCTTTCCATCTTCTCATACCAAACAACATAAAAGAAAATCAATTTCCTTTCCATCATTACTATTTTTCATCACTTTCATATTTCTTTTTTATCCTATATTCTTTCCTTCCTACCAAACATAGCATAAGTGTTGACCTTTTCTGCTCCAGGTCTACGACACCTGCTCAGCCAGAGCAGTTTTTGTTGTGAATCACCGATAAATCTCTCATTTTGACTAAGGCTCTGACCGATGATGACGACGGTGATGGCTACGCCGGTGTTGGTTACGCCGGTGTTGGTTAGACTCCGAATACACAGATAAACGTGAATGCTCATGTTCATTCCCCCGTCTACTCTTTTGCTTGCTGCTGTGATTCTCTCTCTTGGTTTCGGAATGTTGACGTGAATAAGAATGCTTTTGCTTGCCCTTACTTGTAGACTGACCATTGCGGTCCGAATCTTCGGACGAATAATGGGAACACTCGTCTCTGCTCTTATAATGCCTATCAAAATTCGAATCCTTTGATGGTAAAGATTTCATAGGCCTGCACCTCCTTTTGTCACTTCTATGATGCCTATCCTTGCCAGAATCTTCAGATGAACACGAATGCTTTCTTCTTTTTCCAGTACTAGAATGATGCCGGCCAGCATCAGATTCCCCTGACGAGTAACACTTGCGGTTGCTCTTTTCTTTATGCCTATACAACTCAACATCTGAGGAACTCGATTCAGAATGATTATGCTTCTTGTTCTTCCTCTTATGTTTTCTTTTCTTTTGCCGCCTCTCTCCATCCTCGGAAGCAGAAGAGGATTCATCTTCTTCCAACTCCTCACTATCACTATCACATGAAAATTGATGCTTTTTGTGATTTTTCTTCTTCTTGGACTTCTTGGATTTGCTTGAGAAGTTGGTCAGCAACTCCGGAATGTTACCCCCGCTAAGGAAGCCTACAAAAAAGGAAAGAAGATAAAATATCAAAAACCTATTAGAGAGAAATAAATTGACGTAGTAAAAATAGCATGAGATAATCACAAATCACCTCCATACTCATTAAATATGTCCTCGGCAACTATTTGCTGGTTGGGGTCATCTGGTTTAAAGCCTCCACGAGGAGGACTAATTCCTGGCTTTTGCTTTAGCTCCCACTTTAGAGGCTGCACCATAACCAAAAATCTCATTATATGATCTAAGAAAATGATAATATTCTTCACACCACCAATTTTTTACCCCTTGCCCAAACCCCATTATAGACTCAATGGAACCAGCCGCCAGTAGAAAGAGCTATAATAGGTGGTCGATCATTTAGGAATAGAAAGACTACACATTTGACAGCTCAAGTTTCTTAAGAGACTCATTTCTAAATTCTATGCCTTCTCAACTCATTTTTAATTAGCTATGGCTATCTGAAACCTAATGTCGAGTTTGTCATTACAAAAAGGTTGTGCTTCTATACCTCCCTCCCCTATGCCAATTTTCTGTAAGTTCCCATATTATTTGCATATATTCGATGTAAAACATAAAACAGCCAAAGAAGACCAATCAACTGTCTCTTGACGCCCCTACTCGTATTCCGAAATGTCCACTCCCATAGGAAGGGCCCTAAACCCCCTCAAACTTTATGCCTTACGTATTAGATAATGATAAGAAGTTTTCTACAAACAAAGAAAGTGTAATTCCAAGTTGTGAACTAACATCCTAATAAACTTTCTAGAGTCTTGAGAATGAAAAAACAATTAAACTAACCTCACTAGGATCTGTGTGGGCAAGAATAGCAGTCATGGGGTCATCTCTTTTCAATCGACTCTCTTCATTAGGCATTATAGCATCTCTTAATGGACACTCACGATCACCGCTTTGGTGACCATAAGTTCCACATCTAACGCATTTCACATTGCGCACTTCAACTCCAAATGGTTTCACCCTTGCAGGAACACCAGTCTCCAATCTAAAAGTCATCATAGTTAAACCACACATGCATTGATGCAAATGTATTAAGCAGACAAATCAAAAGAATAATGAAAGAAAGAAAGAAAAAACCAAACAAACAAACAAAATCAAAATTTGAACCATTGGTCAATAGACCTACAATAAGTCAACTCTATGAATTTCAAAGAACTCATCAACTCATCTATTTAAAAAATTCCAATAAACCATTAAAAGAAAAAAAAAATCAACAGAAACCTCTAACAACCTAAATAGGAAGTAGACCATGGTCAAGGATATGCCTTTTGGTTAGCATACAAATAAAACATCAAGCAACCTCAAAATAACATCAAAAAGTTGCATGCGAGTATTTATAGATTTATGATAGTAGCACAATAGCATTTGATCATACTGTGGAGCCTTAGCGAAAAACTATACCGTGGAGCATTTTTCAAAACTTCAAATTCTTCTTCAGTTGGTAAGGAGCGCCCAAAAACATCTTTTGGCCTTGGTTTCTTCTTCTCTTCCCTGACTAAGTGATCTCTACCAGGCATGGATTCCGGGGGCCTGCAAGATGGAAAAGTCTACTGCTATGTTATGACCAAATAAAGCAATTTACATAATGAAGAAAGCAATTGAAAAGGCATTTAATATATCTTAATTGACGTTTGGTTCATGTATTCAGAATCATGATTCAGAACCATTCTCATTTTACGTGTATTTTTTGTGAGAGAAAATCACTATAGAGAACCATGAATCATGATTCAGAATCAAGGACGAATACAAGAAACAAACATCTCCTTATTGTTTCTAGATACGAACAAAAAAACAAAAAAAAAAGGTGTAAGTAATACATTGAAGTGGACGTCCCACTTGTGGTTGGGTCTTGGGAAGGGTTTTCCTGCTCATGTGTTTTGATTTCATCAGCAATCTCTGCTGCTTTAGCACTTTCAGCATTGTAACCAGGTGGCCGAACATACATGAAGCTAACGGCTTTCATAATCTCCAGCTGAAAAGTGCAACCCGCTCTTTATTAGAGTATGCAAAACAGCTCATAACAAAACACAAACTAAGTTAGGACAACAAAACAAAAGCTATGATGTTCATCATAATTGCTTGAATTTTTTGTCTATTTCAAATTGAGATGGTCGAATGTAATATTCAAGCTTCTTTACGATCTGAGACAAAAGGGAGAAAGGAAAACAACAAACTAAGTTAGGACAACAAAACAAAAGCTATGATGTTCATCATAATTGCTTGAATTTTTTGTCTATTTCAAATTGAGATGGTCGAATGTAATATTCAAGCTTCTTTAGAATCTGAGACAAAAGGGAGAAAGGAAAACAACAAGGATATCTGTTAGGAGAAGTAAAGAAAAAAAGGAAGTATGCTTATGGAAAAGAAGAGAGAAGAACCTTTTCCTTTTCTTTCTTGGAGACGAGAGCCGTCTGCCGAAAGAACTCTTGCTCTTGAGCATACTGGAGAGAGAAAAAAGACATAGAGAGTTAGTAAGCAATTGAGGACTATTGGAAGAAAAAGAAGAGGGAGAAGAGAGAAAAACTTGCCTCGCGAGAGACCTCCTCCGAGCGACGGTGGCGATTGGCGTGGGTCTGCTCTGCAATCCACTTGCGGCGTTGGTTCGGGTAGGAGAGAGGATGCCATGGCTTCTGGTTGAGGTATGAGTGGCTCCACGCTGTCCCCGCCTTCATCTTGTAATCGACCTCACCGCTTTTACTTGTTTCTGAAAATCTCTTGCTCAGCCTTAGCCCTTCTCCCTCCTCTCCTTCCATTTTCCCCCTCAAATCTATCTATGATCCAAATCTATTAACTTTTCTCCACCAACAAACAACAGCAACTGCAAAATGAAGATGAACTTAGAATCCCAGAACTCTATTGCAATTAAATTCTTACCTCCCATCTCCATCCATGTTTAATATTCAAAGAATCCGATGACCTTGGCCCAAATGTTTCTAAAGCATCACCTAAATGAATCATAACTTAAAATATGCAACTGCCTAAAAAATACAAAATAAAAAAATATTAAGGTTTCTCTGCTAAAATTAAAAATTAAGGAAAAATTTTATCCGTCGACCAGGTTTATCCAGGGCCAAATTACATCATCATAACAATTAAAAAATCCCGGTGGTTAATGGCAATAAGGAACAACATCTGAAAACCATTCACGAGCAATTACTGAAAATAAAAACCGGGCATAAAATATCATTTCAATGAAAACTACAGTACTTGGTTCCGTTCTCAGCGGAAAAACATCTGAAAACCATAACTTAACAAATTCATAATTCACCAAAATATATTCAATTGGCAAGAAGAAGAAGAAGAACATGAACCTTAGAATGTGACAGTTCGGGATGAGTGGAGGATCTTACGATATCAGAACGGCAGCGAAGAGAGTAAATGAGACCGGAATCGCAAAGCCAATCGGAACCCTAGAATCCCAATAAGTCGTCCTCAACCTCGAAGGACTGCGAAATGTGTATTGGCTTCGTTCTGATGAATAGAAAAGGAGAGAATCGTTTCTGAGAAAAGAAAACAAGACACCGGGAGCGCGCCGTTTTTTGTGCCTCGCTTACAAGCCGAGGAAGATGATAACTGGACCCTTTTCCTTTTTTTTTTTTTTTTTTTTTTTTTTTTGGGGAAATTAAAACTGGGCCCTTTTCCTTTTTTTTTTTTTTTTTTTTTTTTTTTTTCTTTCTGATCAGTCATTAATCCCTTTTTGTTCACCCTCTTTTCCATAGAACTATAGTTGAGCCACATGGACTCAGTGTGTTTTAAGACGAAAATTCGTGTCATGATTTGAATTATGATTCGTGATTTGTTACAGTATTTTTTTTTATAAAAAATACACGTAAATTGAAAATAATTTTGAATCATGATTCTGAATCTGTGAACCAAACGTCCATCAGGCATCGTTCATTTTATTAATTTGGGTTTTCAGTTCTAAATTTTTAGAGTTAAAAATTTTCAAAAAATATCAAATTTAATTTTTTATATTATAATTAAAAATTTCTAAAAAATGTCACATTTTAACTTAAATTAAAAATTTAAATCCGCAAAACGAGTTAGGCCTGATCCCGTGTCATAAAACCTCCTTAGTTAAGTTCATTATTTGAAGTAATAAAAATAACCTCCTTAGAAGTTAAAGTTCATTATTGGAAGTAATAAAAAATTATTTTTAAAAATCATATAATAAAAGAAGGGCATGTTTAGTTCACTGATTCGAGTTTTTAATTTAAATTGAGATGTGACTTTATGTGAGAGCTTTTTATTGTAAAAAAAAAAGTTAAATGTGACTGTTTCTGAGAGCTTTTTACTGTAGCAAAACGCGAATTCTAAACTCAAATTAGTGAAATGAACGGGGCCTAAAATTATTTAAGAATTTTTTATTAAAAAAGATAAAAAAGAAAAAAAATAATTAAAGTTATCTAGGAGTTAATACTCGAGTCAACACTTGAGTTTCTGGTTCACCAAACATGTCTTTTTTTATAAAAAATTCTTATATAATTTTAGGCCTCGTTGATTTATAACATTTTTAGTCAAATAATTATATTAATAAAAATGTATTTATTAAAAATAAAAAGTAAAAATTCAGACTTATTTATTTTTAAAAATAAATTATCTATTTTTTCTTTACAAACACTCAACTCAAATGAGTCCAACTTAAGTGTGGGTTTTAGCCCAACCCACACTCAAGTTGGACTCATTTGAGTTGGGTGTTTGCAAAGAAAAAATAGATAATTTATTTTTAAGAGTATGAGTTTAGATTTTTACTCTTTATTCTTGATAAATATATTTATGTTAGTATAATTATTTGATTAAAAAGATTATGAATTAAGAGTAAAGAGAAAAAATTTTGATACATGCACTTTTAAAAAATATTTGTTAAGATTGCCGCAAACGAATAACCCTTAAATTATAATATACCCTTGACAAAATAAAAAAAAACATTAAAAAATAAGATTAAAAAAGAAGAAAGGACATGTAAAAAATTTAAACGGTAAAAACATTTATAAAAAATAAAAGAACAAAATATTTATACAAAATTAGTTTAAAAATGTGCTATGCAATGTTACCGTGTGAGAATCACCGAAACAATTTATTATTTACTACATAATGAGGAAGAAAGAAAAGTAAAGAAAAAACGGAAGGAACAATACATGATTAATATTGGAGAGAAAAGAAGGTGAAAATCATATGTAACGTAAAAAGAAAAGAAAAAGGAATATAAGGTTATAAACGAAAAAAAAAGAAAGAAGAAAATGAAAAAAAAAAAAAAAAAAGAAACAGAGAAATGAGGAGGGAGCATGGTGGGATAGGATCAAATCTCACATTGGTACTCTCATATATGGTATAGAATAGTTTATAATTAGATAAATTTTTTAGAAAAACGCGTTGAAAAAAAAAATTAAAGGAAAAAAGCGATAAAGACATTTATAAAAGAAATTGTTTTAATAAGAGGAAAGAGAGAGAAAAAAATTATTTCCCACTACAAAATAAATAAATAAATAAAAAGAAAAAAGAAAAAAAAATCAGTAGTATATCGCTTCTCCCATGTTTCTTATCTTCCTTCGAATAATTACAAAAAGAATAAAAAGCAAAGGTCAATTCATCAGCACTAATTTCTTTCTCTAGTTTCCTCTTGTGGGATTGTGCAACTGAGTGATCATGGGAAACTGTATATCATTTTCCTTTCAGTCTAATGCCGCTGATGGCGTGGTTTCTCATTGCTGCGAATTCACTACTAAACGAGCAAGGTACGTGTCTAAGCTTGAAGGAAATATTGATGCTTTGAAGAAAGCTTTTGAAGAGTTAACAACTACAAAGACTGACTTGCTAAGGAGAGTCAACGTTGCGGAGGAGCTACAGCAGATGAAGCGGCTTGATAAGGTTGAGAGGTGGATTTCTGGGGTTGAAGCCATGGAAGCTGAAGTCAACGCATTGATGGAAAGAAGCGCTCGAGAAGTCAACAGATTATGCCTTTGGGGTTGCTGTTCTAAGAATTACATCTCCACCTACAAATTTGGCAAGATGGTGTCTGAGAAGCTCGCCGAAGTGACGGATCTGCAAGGCAAAGGGGCGTTTGAAGTGGTCTCTGAACGGGCACCCATAGCTTCTGTGGTAGAAATGCCCCTTGAGTCAACTGTGGGCATGGAAACACTATTTGACAAGGTTTGGAGAGATCTCAATGATGAAAATGTTGGGATAATGGGGTTATATGGAATGGGAGGGGTAGGAAAAACTACCCTTTTGAAGAATATCAACAACAATTTTCTCAAGATTACTACCAGTGACTACAATGTCATCTGGGTAGTAGTATCTCAGGATCACAGACTTGATAACTTACAAAATGTAATTGGGGAAAAGATAGGTTATTCCGAGGAAACATGGAAAAGAAGAGACTATCATAATAAAGCTACAGACATCTTTAGCATCCTCAGCAGAAGGAAATTTGTGCTTTTATTGGATGATATATGGGACAGGATTGATCTTACTGAACTTGGGGTTCCTTTGCCTACCAAAGAAAATGGATCCAAGGTTGTATTCACAACTCGTTCCATGGAAGTTTGTTGTCAAATGGACGCTCAAAAGATGGTAGAAGTGAAGTGCTTAGCATGGGATAAATCCTGGAAGTTGTTTCAAGAGAAGGTTGGGGAAGTGGCCCTCAATGTCCACCCCGATATCCCGAGTTTAGCTGAGATTGTCGCCAAAGAGTGTGATGGTTTACCTCTTGCGCTAATTACCATTGGTCGCGCCATGGCTTGCAAAAGAACACTTCAAGAATGGAAATGTGCAACTCAGGTGTTGAAGAATTCAGCATCCGATTTTTCAGGCATGCGTGATAAGGTACTTCCACTCTTGAAGTTCAGTTATGACAATTTGTCGAGTGAAAAAGTTAAATCTTGTTTCTTGTATTGCGCGTTATTCCCAGAAGATTGGCCGATTGATAGAAATATTTTGATAGATTATTGGATGAGTGAGGGATTTTTGGATGAATATCTGGATATAGATCATGCAAAAAATCAAGGATGTGATATTATTGGTTCACTTCTTTATGCATGCTTACTAGAGGATATTGACAATAAATTTGTAAAGATGCATGATGTTGTCCGAGACATGGCTTTGTGGATAGCTTGTGACTGTGGTAAGGCAGAGAATAGATTTTTGGTGAAAACCAACGCTGAACTGTTAAAACTTCCCATGAACGAAACATGGAATGAGGTCAGTAGGATTTCGTTGCAGAGAAACCGCATTGAGAGTCTTTCAGGAACTCCAACATGCCCCAATCTCTTGACTTTATTTCTTAACCGTAACAGTTTGAGTCAGATCACGGATAGCTTCTTTGACTCTATGCCAAAACTAAGAGTTTTGGATCTGGCAGCAAATCCATGTCTGACTAATTTGCCGGTTGGAATTTCACAATTAGTTTCATTGCAATATCTCAATCTGTCAAATACGGCGATAGAAGAATTGCCAAGTGAGTTAAAGAACTTGGTAATGCTCAAGTACTTGAACTTAAATAATGCAATAAACCTTGACGGAATCCCACAAGAGATCATATCAAGCTTTCTTCGGCTACAACGCTTAAACATGTTTTTCTGCGGATTGCATGAAAACCGGCTAACGGGGGCCAACACTGTGCAGTGTGGGGGTAATGAATTATTAGTGCAGGAATTACTATGTTTGAAAGACTTAAAGACATTGGAAGTCTCAATGAAAAGTCTCTCTGCCTTTGAAAGACTTTCAACCTCAGAAAAGCTACAAAACTGCACTCGAGCTCTATTTCTCCAACGTTTAAGGAGTGTCCGTTTCCTTTATCTGTCAGCTTTTGTAAATATGAAGCGTTTAGAAAAGCTCATGATCTCGGACTGTAGAAGGTTCGAAGAGATAAAGATTGACTGGGATTACATAGGAAGAGAGTCCCATGGGATTCACCTTCACCACTCAAATATCACAAATGAAATGTGCTTTTTGAGCCTTCGTGTAGTTGGAATCGTAAGCTGCAAATCACTGAAGGACTTGACTTGCCTTATTTTTGCTCCAAAGCTAAGTTCTCTAAATGTAAGTAATTGCCCTGCACTGCAAGAAATAATATGTCTCAACAAACTAGCTCATGCTATAGAGGTGACAAAACATCTGGAACCATTTAAGGAACTTATGGATCTAGATTTGCGCTACTTACCATCGTTGATGAGTATCCACCAGAAACCCTTGTCCTTCCCACGTCTCATGAAAATTGAAGTACTAAAGTGTCGTTTCCTGAAGAAACTTCCTATCAGTTCAAACATTACCAAGGAATCTGAATTGGAGATCAACGGAGAAGAATCTTGGTGGAATGAGCTGGAATGGGATGACGAGGCCACTCAAGACGCTTTTCTTCCATGTTTCCATGCTATCTCAGAGAAGCATTGACGTATTATTGAAGAGAAAATACAATTAATTTCAGGTGAGACGTCAAACTAAACGCATTCTTTGTTCTTTATTTTTCAAAAAGGAGAAATTTGTAGAGTTTCTCTTATCAGTTCTTACTTGTGTTGTAACTTTTATCTTTTTTTTTTTTTTTTTTTTTGGATGGAGAAGGTTTCCAGGCGGAGAAAAGGGAAATGCTTAAAAAAATAATAATAATCAAAGCAATTAAGTTCTGACGGTCTATGCGAAAGGAAGTTCATGCTTTTCCAACCTGTGTTTCACTTGATAAATCTGCTGAGAAAAATCTCTGCGCTCCTTTCGTGTTTTCTTTCCATCTAATATTGTTGATGATTCTGTGCTTTGTTATGTTCTAATATTGGAGATATCGTTTCATCTGCATGTGGAAAAAATGAAAAAAGAAAAAAGAAGAAGAAAACTATGGTTATCTGTTCCAGGCCATTCTCTCTATTGATGTAGTACAAATGGTAATATTGCACATATATTCTATTTTTTCTATGTAAAATACATTTGACAACAAAAAGCATCACTCAGGTATGAATAAGAAGGTGTTTGTCCTCATCAACTCTCTCTCTCTCTCTCTCTCTCTCTCTCTAAAATATACATGGCACACACAATATATGCAACTTTTAAGAGGCACGTCTTGACGGTTAGGATCACCAAGTGAGAGCATCATGGTTGTATTACAAAATGTAAATAGATTCATAAATGAAACCTTTTATTTTGTTTACTGGAACGGATTACAGAAAGAGATGATTAATACGTCTCTTCTACTCTCTTGAGAATATTATTTAATTGTTTCTGAAATGAAAATCGAGCATAGGAAGCAAACATAAGAGTTGATTAAAAACAGAATCTGAATAAACTCTTTAAGAGATTAAATGTACCTTAGATAACTAAAGCCGTAATCGCCTTTTATCCTATAGTAGTTCAACTTGGCATAAGTAAGAAAAAGAATAATTAAGTCATCACTGAATTTGTTGTTTCTTATTTCTTTTTCATTTACCATTCATTTCTTAAAGTTTCTCTCGAACTGCTGTATGCTTAACCATTCAACTTGCATCCCTTTTGGTCTCCACAAAATTTTCAATATCTAGCAATAACTTATTTGCAGCCAATCAATTGGTTCAAGACAACTGCTCAAATAATAGAAGTGAACAAGGAATGAAATCATCAACTAAACTTCTCTAAACAGAAAATAAAATGTAAGAAAGCGCCTCTCTTTTGGAGATGGAGTTACTAACCTGTAGATTTGCCAATTATTGGTGATTTCGAGCTTTGAAGTCTGTCTTTATGCTCCTCAGTTTGAAGAGGATTCCTCAATGGTTATCTGTTTTAGATTTCTTTTGGAGGTTCTCTCTCTATACAATGACTAAAACAAGGAAGAAAGGCATCTCTAGTAGCCTCATTGTCCCATTCTAACTCATTCAACCAATATTCTTCTCCCGAAATGGTCATTGTTGCAATTAAGTACGTCTCAAATTGCAAATAAATCAGAAGATATTTCAGTTGAAGGTGTGCGATTAGTTGACTTTAAGACTACAACCTGGAGATTAATGGTGACGTGGCACTAACAGTTAACATTTGTAAAGGCTGGCTCTAGTTTGTTATATAAGACTAGTTTGTTAAGTAGTTTATGGTATAAAAAAAAAAGAAAGGAAAACTTCTTTTGTAATAGATTTTTGAGAGTGAAGATCTGAGAGAGAAATTCTTGGGAATTCATGAGTTTGTAATTGGGGCTCTTGGAGCGTTTGTTTCTTGGGAAATTTGGTGAGAAACTGAGACACTGTTTCTGTAAGGGTTCCCGAGTGATCTTTGTAAAGTCTGTGATTCTAGTGTATACTTGTTGACGAACTAGTGGATTGAGCTAGAGAAGACATCCATGCCTTGGATTAGGATCCGTAAAGGGTCTGAACCAAGTAAATCTCTTGTCTCTTTCTTTGTTTGTCTTTTGATTTCTAGTTTGCTATTTTGTGCGGTTCTTTGCCTTTTGTTTTCGTGTTCTTGGTGCATATTCTAGGATAAATTACTACAAATTGGTATCAGAGCATCCCAAGAAACGATCTCTTGAAGGCATATCTCGTTGATTGGAGGTTCTTGCAATTTGATGTTCAATATTTAAGATTAGCTGGTCTTGAATTTTCTCTGAAGATGTCAACGATCAAATTCGACATTGAGAAGTTCGATGAGAAGAACGACTTCAATCTATGGAGGGAGAAAATGATGGCTCATTTGGGTAATCTCGGACTAGATGAAGCCTTAAAGGGAGAATAAAAAATGTCAAACACGCTTGATGACAAAGAAAAGGCTAATATTCTGAACAAGGCTCGTAATGCAATTGTTCTGAGCCTACGTGATCAGATTTTAAGGAAGGTTGTCAAAGAAAAATCTGCTGCAGAGATGTGGTTGAAGTTAGAATAATTTTACATGACCCGGACATTACCAAACATAATCTATCTGAAACAGCACTTCTATAGTTTCAAATGGATGAGAGCAAGTCGATTGATGAGAATGTCGACGAGTTTACCAAACTTGTGGTAGATCTTGAAAATATTGAGGTCACAATTGATGAGGAAGATCAAGCTATCTTCTTCCTAAATTCCCCTCCAAAGTAGTATGATCAACTGCGAGATATTTTGAAGTATGGTAAAGAAACTCTGTCACTGGATGAAGGCATGGGAGCTACATACTCAAAGGAACTGGATCTCAAAGCAAATGGGAAACATTCAAGACCAAATGGAGAAGGCCTCAACATTCGAGGAAGAACAGAAAAGAGGGATAATCAACACATGGGCAAGGGTAAAGCCAGATCAAAATCAAGGTACAAAAAAAATGTTGGACCTATCATAAAGAAGGATCAGAAGATTTTGCCCTCAGAGAAAGAAAGATCAGAGACATGATGAGTCCTCGAATGGAGATGCTGTAACCGCCTTTGATGATCTTGACACTGCAGATGTCCTTACTGTGTCTGATAATGATCCAACTGATGAATGGATCATGGATTCTGGGTGTACCTTTCATATGACACCCAGAAGTTTCTGGAGGCAAGGTTCTAATGGGAAACAATGTCTCCTGTGGAGTGAAGGGTATTGGGTCTATTAAGATTAAGATGTGGGATGGATCTGTGAAAACCTTAACTGGAGTTAGATCCATTCCTAATCTCAAGAGGAATATGGTGTTGTTGGGAATAGTGTCCTAGAAGCATAAGATGTAATAGGATATTTGTTATTTAATTAATAAAAGAGTTTATTCATCATTTTATGTGCATATATTTATGAATATTTTATGAATATCAAATGAAAATTTCGTGATTATTTATGTAACCTTAAACATAGTATATAAGTGTTATATACAAGAGGATAGTGTTTAAGGATAATAATCAAAAACATTGTTCATAATGAATTTAATTAAAGTTCGGAATCTTTAATTAAAACATTATTAATACATGTCATTCCCATTTAGAATGGAACGGTGCTATCCGTACTGTTAATATGGTGAGATATTGAATGAGTGTATTTTGCATAATGAGATTGTGTGGAACAAGGACACAGACACAATATGAATTTCTAATAATTTCTGTTAAAGCATAGAAATTCTAATTGAGTCTACCGATGGTCATATATAGAATGAT